CACCATACAGTGGAAACATGGAAGCATTTACCCCTTTTTTCATTTAAATAATGAGCCTGTTGTCGTTAAAACCCACAACAGTTTGCACCCGTAGTAACCTCCAGTACACTTAGAACCGGTTTCGTAAAATAACAGCGGGTTGACAGTAGCGATATCTCGAGATATCTAGCATAAACAGCTTACGACCGTGGCTTCGAGTTGGGGGACGGGGGGTGTGATTTTCTTCCTCTTCCAGCCACATTCAACTTCAGCATATGACCGGCATCTTTCATAAACATGAAAAAAGTACCTCTCCCTATCCGAGTTCAGTAACTTTCCTGATAACTTACAAAAGCGACTAGTATGGAATAAGTTAGGTTTATGAATAATCTGAATACGTCGCTTGTCAGATGCTCTGCTGGCTGTGTAAACCAACAGAAATAGAACCCCAGAAACCCTATCTAGAGAGTTTCCTTAAGAAAAAAAAATCCGCAACAACAACAACGCCCTCGGGCCCCCTTAGCCGCGGAACACAAATAAGTGTTCGAAATGCAGGAACGTATAGTTCAGCGAGCATTGGCACTGCTCTTGACGGATCTATCTGAGCAACACTTTATATTTGCTTGATAAAGATTTCAGTTTTAAAACAAATTATAACAACAGACCAGGAGCTGAACAGATCCAGTAAAATAAAGGAGTGAAGGAAAAATTAAAAGAAACAACTGTATAAACAGTCTGACCTCTCATAATGAACCGGCTGTGAGCACAAAAAATACCAAGGCCGGATTGTTCTCTTAAGAGAACTGATCGCTTACGCCCATGCTTACAAAAGGACCTCTCGCAAATCATGTTATGTCCCACAGTTCTGCTAATCGACCTTTATATATTTGACCCCATGTTCGACCCTGTGTTTTCTCTCTGGAAACCTAAAATTAGAGAGCTGCGTACTAGGAGCTCGGGATGGTACTAAGGGCGGCGTACTATTGAATTCCAGGGTAAAAGAACTTCTAGACACCCAACCGACTGTGTTTTTTACTTCGGAGTAAAATCAGGACCCCAGGATGATGGGACATTACACACTCCTGTAGTAATCGCCTGCTGTCCAGTGCGCGAGTCACCGATAATAGTCTGCTAACTTAGTAACTTCCGGGTCAGTGACGGGCGATTAGAAGGACAAACAAAGTACAAAAAATAGTCGTGCAATGGAAAATTAAATGAAACAAATTCATGCACGCAAAGAAACCCTAAAAAAAAAATTCATGCACTGGCCTAGAAAAATTCATACAAGAGAAATGTTAACAAAAGAAACTCATGCCGCAGAAAAATTTCCCACTCCCCCAAATGCTTTTCTAATGGTACGATTCAAATGTTGTTTTTCAATGAACATTATGAGTGTAATTCAATTTGGAACAATGTCTTTCATTAAGGAATTTAATTTTGACACAGAGTAAATCAAGAATGCTAAAACTATCCGTTTTGTTGCTGGTTGGCAAATGGTTAAGTTTTCCTAGAGACTTTCTACACCAGAAATTCACGCAGTTGTTATCTTTCTCTGCGATTTGGCATCGTCGTGAAATGTAAAATGTTTTCCAGCTTTGTACTTTATAACTTCTAAAGCTATGGAAGTAGCGAATTGTGACGCTCAGTAACAAAATGTGGAAACCAACGCTTTTAATATTAAGAAGGGCTGGGTAAGTAACTTGTTCTGTTTTTTAGCCTTTCTAAAATCATTGTTTGCAGATCAATAGCCGGTTTTGTTTATGGCTCGTGGTCCGGATGCCTTTTTCTATGGGTTTACCGGGATAATAAACCATATGTTTTTGACCAATCAGATCACGCGTACTATCTCAGTTATTTTATAATTATTTATAACACACGCCTTGTATTGTTAACAGGCTTAACGAACTGGCTCCCGAGAGGAAACTGAAATGCATGTTTACTTTTCCTTTGAGCACGATACAGGGCAAAACGATACCGGTTACAGAACATAATCCAACTTAACTGGAAAATGAGAGTTGCAACGCTTATTACTTTATGGTTGAGGACCAGGTAAAAACATTTAATGATTTCCTTTATTCTCCTGCACATTAACTTCATTTATTCTCCTGCAGGAATTTGGGAGGGAACGAGATCAAAGAGCTCCCGTCAGGGATATTTTCAAATCTATTTTCCTTGCAAACCCTGTAAGTGAACAACGCACTATTTCTTTGTTTAATATATAGATTTAGCCAGGGCTAAAAGCGAAGCTCCCATTGTTATTTAAATCAAACAATAAATTTGTAATCCACAAATCAGTTAACTTAAAGGCAAATTCATGTGACTTTTGAGGGAAACGCTAAGTGATTTTAGAGTGAAACATCTTACATCGAGTTGATAGCCATACAAAAGCACCTAAAAAATAGCAATCATCACCGATCACATTCAAGAACCATAATGGCTCTTGATCACAGTAGATTAGACCTGGAAAACAAATTCTCGGAAAACAAATCAGGGCAAAGTTTTTGCTTTCGACAAGTTTATACTTTACAAAATCTTGCCAACAAACCCGGGGGTGTGTAAACCAACCTTTTATACTTTTTATAGATCACATCTGGGATGAAACAGTACTGTTTATAATACAGACCTCGCACAGAATGCAGTATTTCACAATTTTTCAAGACAAATATTGCACTCAGTCAATATTCAGGACGATCAATTGTGGGATTTTAGCGAAACCGTTCAAAAAGTTTCCAAAATCACCTATACGGCCAGCCAGTTCTCACTTTTGATGAGAGCCAAAATTGCAGTGAACATTAATAGAGTTACGCTTCAACGTAATAAATAATTTATTAATATGTTTATTTTTTTTATTTAAGGGTTTTATAACGACGTGTAATCTTAAAAAACGTTTGATACGCGCACAATTTTGACATAACTCCTGCAAGCGATGTTCATGAACGACTGAGAACGAACGGCACGGCGATAAAAATTGCAAGAGAGACTGCTAACAATCACTAAAAGAAATATAATTCGGTGAAGAATTTACAGAGACAACAATTTTCATTCACGAAGACAAGTATTAAAGCGTTTCTAAAAATCCTGAGTCTTAAAGCTTAAGGCTTAATAAGTTTATGTTTTAAGCCGGCCTCCCGGGGTTTGCTTTTCTCAAAGATGAACTCGAGGCGAGAAAATCGCTCAAAGTTTTCTTTCTACAGCCAAATTTATAACTAAATATTCTTCGGAACGTTTTCTTTCTATTTGCTGTGAGAAAATATACCTAAAGGCTTTTTAAGAGCGACTCTCTATAGGAACCGAGTGAGATTGAAAAAATGTGGCACAAGGTTGGAAAAATGGACCCCTTGATATTTCGTCCAGAGATAACCTATGGTATGCTAAGAATCGTGATATAAGTCTTAGGTTCTAGAGTTTTTACATTTTTGAGAAAATCACGAAAAAACGTCGACAACCCGTGACGCCGAAAAATCACAGAAATGAGGTCAAATTTCATGATCAGATAATCGAACTCGCGTGAAGGCGCATAGCAAATTATGGCTTTCCGTAGTTTACAATTGTATTTAGGAGGTATTGCTGAGCTGCTTTGATGATATTTTAGACTTACAATTGTAATTCCGAATTCCTGGAGAGCAAGCGAAGAGAACCGAAATTTCTAGACTTTGAAAATCAAAAATTCCATACCGTTTTCAAACATCTCAAAACATACTCGGTATTATGTAGAATTCTTTCAAAATTCAATTCTAGCAAGTAGAAGAGCTGTTTTTGAACGCGATATAATTTTTTTCTTGGCAAAAGTTATTTCTGAGGCGAGCGGCCCCGTGCAAGTTGACCCAATTTGACCTTTCGAAGAGATTTTGTTTAACCAGGAAATGTAAACGATTCGACTAGCATTAGCTCGCTTTCTGAGCAAACCATTGAAAAACCCTGCCATTTCCCAGTAAAACTACCCAGTAAACCTGAGATAATACTTCGATGACAGCTTACCTTCCAAATGGGGGTTTGAAGGCAAATAAGTTTGACGTTCTCTATTAATTTTTCCATTGCTTTCTTGTTGCCGCGCTTTATAATTTAGGGGCATATCTTGACATCGAGTTTGTACGCCGGTTCCAGTCCAAGCTTGTGCAACACTTTTCCGGAAAACCAATCCATATGTTGCAATATCAACCTCTCAGTGAGCAACCTCTTGATATTCATTTAGTTTCTTGTATAATAAAAAAATTGCTAAGCGCAAGACGTAAATCTCGGTCTAGTGAGTGTAACGCAATCCTTCCGTCGTCACTTCCGGACCAGGTGATTAATTTTTTTTTCTGACGGGGGAGGGGGAAAGAAGTTTTCAAGCAATTTCTTTTTCTTGTTGGTGTTGCACGCAATGCATTTAACGGTTCATTACATGGCCACTGCAACAATTTAATTAAGATTTTCCATCATGATATAAACGTACACAAGAGTTTTTCATGTCCTTTGTTCCAAGTATTTAATACAGTAATTCACTCAATTGCTTTCGCTCAAAATACGTTTTTCCCTTCAAGTTAAAAAGGGACAATTTCCCGTTTTTCTCCTTTGCGCACTCAGCTATTGCTCAGCTCAGTGGGTAGTGGAAAATAGCTAAGAGTTGGTAACCACACCCTACTAACTCGCCCTAGTCCCCTACCCCACCCTTGTGCTAACTTTGAATTTAAAGTGAGTGAAAACAAAATGTATTTGGGGTAAAGGACTGTTCATTCCACTTTTTTTATTAAAGGGGGTACTGGAAGATTTTGAAAACAAAATTGCTCGGGCGCAAGCCGGAAAACAAATTTCCTGCAGAGCGCAAACTTACATAAATCCCCTGCTGCAACTTAGTGACATAGATTCTAAGAAGGAAGTCTATATGACAGTGGTCCCACGATTGACGTACGCTTAGGTTAGGGCTTGGCGTGGTATTTGGGGTACTGAATACTGAAGATGGGGTACTGATACTGAAGAACGTATCCCTATGATTACCCTCCTCCCACCCCCCTACCCCACCCTTGTGCTAACCTTGGGCTTTACTTATCCGCTTTGCAGCGACATGTTTGACAGTACTCCTCAATTTTGTCTGCATAGGGCTGTTTGCGTTTGATGGATACATCAACAGCAATGTCAAGCCCGGCGCAAATGTCTCTGAGTTTTGCAACCGATAACTTGGTCGTGTTGAGTTTCCCTCCTGAGGTCATTTCGCATAGGTTATATTTATCCCACATGATGGGGTGTCCTGGAAAAAGTTCCCGAGAAACCTTATTCGTCAATTCTTCGATGGTTGCCTCCTGGGTGGCACATTCAATCTCCTCTTCAAGATCATCATCGTTAAAGAGAGACTTCTTTGCCGCAAGTCTGGAGAAGAATCCAGCGACCTGAGATGCAGTCAGAAACTCTTCACTACTGAACATCCGTTTCCCTTGTGAGTCCACGGCAGACATCATAGAGCGCGCAACTGATGCCGGATCACTTTTTCGTCCTGACCGCTCACCTTGTTGAAATTTTTCAGTCAGGTAGTTCCTTTGCTTGTACGTAAATCTAGATCTACGGGAAGCACTTGACTTGAGCGCCCAACCCTTTGGTAGCATGTCGTGAGAAGATGGCGGTTCTCCAACTGCCTCCAGCTCGGGAACAGCTTCGCATTGCCCCTCAAGCCTTTGAGCATATCCAACAGCAGCTCTATCCAGTAGAGTATATCGCTCAAGAGCTCGTTGGTGTTTTCCACAGTCTAAATGCCGCTGCATTGATGAATATCTCACAAATGTTTTGACACAACCCTCTTCAGGACAACTGAAGATCGCCGCGTTACTGTCTTCCTCTTCGATATTCACTGGTGGATCTGGATCTCGAACTGATGCTTTTATGCGCCTCTCCTTGACAGATGTAAATGCGCCTGAGTAAGAGCGAGTAACTCCGGTAAGGGTCGGTAGGTCAGATGGGGATGGGCAATGCAATTTGTCTGTAGGGATGAGTTTACCATCGCCGATACCATACGCCCTCCAAACTAGTAGCCCCTCTTCCTTGTACTCGACATTACTGAGCTGACTAATACCATCTATCTTTGAAGATAGCACCTTCGGGACTTGGACAGTCTCACACAATGCTACGTTAACACCAGGAACTCCACCAGAAGAGAGTATCGCGTCCCTCATCTGCTCAGGCGTCTCGATATCATTTCCAGCGTTAAGATAAATCCTCATATGGGACTTAATAGTCGCAGCCTTCCGATCACATGCCGCCTTGCCCCCTTGTGGATCAGAAAAATCTAGACGCCTGATCTTGACACCTTCTTCATGGCCAAGGGCTGCTGCACAGACGAGAGTGGTTCCACAGTGGTAGCAGCCGGCATTATCCTGCCGATAACAGACGGTCTTGAGCCCGGGCATGGCGATCTTGAGTTGCCGAATAACATCGGCCATAACGGCAAGGACTGCGCAGCTGTCTTGACTACAGGACTTGAAAATGTGTGCGAACGTTAGCATCTGCAACTGCCTCCTTCTCGTCTTGTGGCAACTGTCAAATGCCATGGGATCCCGCGTTTACCGAACCAGTCGGTCTGACTTTCTCTACACTTCCGAGGAAGATATTTCATTGCCCAATCTTGAACAATTAAAACAGACGACTCATCAATCTCTTCCAAAAGTTATACTCTGGCGCCATCCTGATTGACGGAACGGAGGAGATGAGACTTCCACGCCAATATAGCGGTCTTTGCATTCTTGACTCGGAAAACAAGTTCTTCCTTCGTGTTGGATGTCATGTTTTGACTTTGCGCAACCAAACCTTCCTCGATATCATTTAGAGTTGACGCCAATGTAGCGCAGCGCTCACACACGTCACTGTGATCGTGATCACATGTGGCCTGGAACGAAGGCTCCTTCGGGTCGCTTAAAGCGTATGACCTGCAGTGATCAGCTACTGTAGAACTCTGGGAAACGTGGACCTGCAATAAACGTTTGAAAAAAAGTTATAATTAAGAAGCGCTGCTTTGAAGAGAACTAAGTAGAAAGATAGAGAAGATTTCACATGACTGTCAGACTTGCGTTCACTTCATTTTCCTATTGATTGAGGGGCTTGGTCTGTTGTCAGTGAGCCAATCAAATGGCGAACTAAACCCAAACGCACGTTTAATCATGTCACTATTAAACGCAAGTCAGACATACTTCGCCTCCTGGTTGATTTGTTGTTTAATGGGTTCCTCTCCTGGTTGGCTGCGGTTAGTTGCGGTTTGTTCTACAACAGTCAAGTGAAATCCGTTCTAACATGTTGTTATCATATGTTCCGTATGGACTGACTGGCACGCTTATCGAGTTAGTCCTTTGTAGTAATCAGCCTTTGAGTGCCGGACAGTAGAACCATGAAACTGACAAATATGTAGCGGTAAATAGCGCCAACTGAACAAAATAACACAATGGAAGTGATGCTATTTAATGGTATTTCGATTAACTGCTAGCAAGTGGTAGAGGGTGTTTTTTTAAAGCGAAAAACCCGGAGTGTGTGATCGCAGACGCCATATTGGACGCACAAGACAAAGATCTGGGGCGAGTGACATAGCGAGGTGGAGGGATCTGCCTTGCTGGAGTCACACCCACCTTAAAGTCGCTTTTAAGGTACCGCTTGCTTGCGCGTAGATTATTTTCCTGCTGTTTCGCCCACCCCATGCCTTGTCCTACATCTCCAAGGGTTTCAACAACATCACACAGATCGTCAAATGCTTCCGCACCTGCAGAACTAACATAATCGAGACCTTGAACCGATGTCCGAACAGACGCAGCGCACGTGCTCAAAATCCGCAGAAGAGTAGCGCGGCTTAGTGGTATGAACCCAGACTCTTGGCAGTAAGTCATATACTGGATGACTATTCGCTCTGGGATAATCATCCGTATGACGTTTGGAACCTTGATAGTCTCCTTCGTCGATAACATGATTGTTCTTTCGCCAAAAGGCAAATCTTGGATAATATGGGGACTAGTGATGAACGCTATGAAGTGGTCGATTTGAGCGGTGGATACTCTCATCCTTGGCGTCGGAACTGTTAGCACCGGTGCCCCCCTTACATATACTAAGCAGTGGCGTCTGGGCCTCAGTGAAACGATACTGAGATAAATCGGGTATCCAGTGTCGCAGCTGATTCAGTGTCAACTTATCAGCCATAATGGACAAGACTTGCCGACGCGTCTCCCAGCTGTCGGCTGCGCGGTAGCACTCGGCGAGTGCGCTCATCATGGTTTCGTCGACTGAACTGCTTGTGGCTTCTTCTCCGTTACATTGTAAGGTTCTTTGTATGACACCAGAGGAATAGACCGCCTTGAAGAGAGAACCACTATCACTTGGAGCTATGTCTTGTAAAAGTGTAGATAGACCTTGACCAGCCTTCCGCACGTAGTAGCGTCGTGTTCTTTTACTTGCTTCTTCCCAAGGCCGCTGTAGCCGAGAACGAATGGGACTGATTCCTCGAGTGCGCAAATAATCATTGAGTGGGTCAGTGGTCTTGGACTGTGGTTCGCACTTTGTTGTAGCTGGTGTGCTGTCAAAGGAGATCTCCTCAGAGGAGGACGAGTCGTCGCTAGGTGGTAAATAGAAGCTTCCTCCTGGAGTAGCTGGGGTACTGTGTTCAGGACGAGTACGAGTCGTCTCCTCAGCCTAGAACAGCAACGTCAACTGTTATATTGCGCACGGTTCATGAGGCTTTTCCATGTTGATACCGTAAATCCTCTATTAAGCTCCCCCTCCCTCTCTAATAAGCTCCCCCTTTTCAGAGGAGGAAAGTTAATAAGCCCCCCTCTCTATTAAGCACCTTCTGCCCCTCCCCCAATCCTTATTCTTCACAAAAAAATTAACGATTAACGTGGACTGATCAGTTATGGTTTATTCATAAAAATTACCAAAGAACATGAGGCCGAAAGCACATTTTTGAAGAATAAGAATTTTGTTTTTGTTACTTTTAGGCTCCCACAAGTGAATTAAATACTTTTGACAGTGACTTTAATTGTACAACGCGTAAGTCTACCCTGTCTCATACCACGGTATTTTTGCTACAGGTGATGCGTTTCGCTAAATTAAATAAGTCCCCCCTTAAAAGTGCGTGAAAAAATAAGCCCCCCGGGGGCTTAATAGAGGATTTACGGTATATAGAAAACAAGGTGCGGCATAAATGATTGAAAATCTTTAGAAACAACCATAACAACAGCTTCGCTAAGTATAATTAGGGGGTCTGATTAAAAAAGGGCGATGGAGAATCAGAGTTTTATGGTAACTTAATGAAATTCAGACTTTGATCCTGTGTATAGTTACATATAAAATCAGTGGTATGCGCGAAACTCCCAAAACAGCTAGAACTTACCAAAGAAAGCTCATGAATACTCTCTGAAAGGGCAATAAGTTGTGGGTCTTGGCAATCGGCTCTGACCTGTTCTCCAAGAGTTATCCTACATTCACTACATATTCCTTAAAAAAAGATAAAACAATAATAAATATTGAATAATGATTTAATTTTAGTGTTGAGCATTGCTCTTTCGAATGTGACTTGGCTCTTGTGAAATGTAATGTAGCACTGCAGTCTATAGATTTTATTCGAATGGATACTTACCAGAGCCGACTGGAAGAAATATCCCAGTAACACGCAAGATTAATCTGGAGATGTCTTTATTGATTCCACGATCCGTAGTACGGGATTTGCGGACGTGCTTCGACAGCTGGGCTGGTATACGGCAACGCGCCAAACCCCTTCGCCACCCAATGCCCAGCGAAGAACGATGAGCGGGACAAATATCCATGTCAGAAATATTGGAAGGGAAACTGAAAATTGAAGACCTTGCTAGAATCAGTTCCACTTCAGTGTCTACGCCGCTGCCGGTCATCAGCCCTAGAGAGCTTTTGTGGCGTGATATGTCTTTGTTACAAGTTAGCAAGGGAACTAAATCTTGGACTTTAGTGCTTCGAGGGTCTTGACCGCATTCGCCACCAACTAGCCGCTGAAACGAGCAATTTCTCTCCATCTTTCAACCGATGACGCAGAGCAAATGACTCAATTTCGGCAGAAGTAAACACATGCGTGCTAATTACTCGGCATGCCGAATTGTAAATAATGTTTGATTTCAAAGTGTTTTTTTTTTCTTTTGGACCAAGTGAGCGCTCAAGGTTACACAATACACTTCAAAGACCTAAACTCATTTTCCTGCACATACTCTTTAGTATCTTTGTAAAGTTGTAAAGATTTTAATCCGCGTAATAAGATTTGCCGAATTTAACAAAAAGTTAGGAGCCTCGCACGTGCTAGCTTCGCTTATCGGGCGAGCGATCGAAAAGTTCGATTTTAAAAGATCACAGCTCGAACGCCGCGAGAATTCTATAGTTAGAACTTTTTTAGAGGTAAACAAACCGTTTGCCACAGATCTACTTGCGTTTGGGAATTATCTGTTTTAAATTTAGATCTCTCTCCATGGAAACTCCCAAAACAGTGTTACGTGCTCTTTTCTCGTACGAAAAGAAGCATGTCTTGTGCGAACCCGAAAGCAAATCATTTTCAGTTTTCAAAGAGATAATTTCGAGAATCATATAAAAGCGTGCATCTACTTCTGCGTCAAAAGGTATCTTGTTGATTATAATTCCTAAAAAGTTAGATGCGCCACGAAGGGGACCTATTTGCGTGTTCACCTGCCATGGGCAAATTGGTAAATGCAATTAATACAAATTACAAAAACTCGCTTTGCGGCCAATAACTAGCCCTTTTTCAGATATATATTACTATTTCCTTTTATCTAGCTTTAGGAAATCATTAGCAATGGAACTGCCCAGGAATTTGACTTTTGGAGCTAAAACTAGATAGGATTCCTAGTTTGTTGCACAGTCACTAGAAAATGGGAAAAGTAAATGTGATGCGTGTATAAACACCGATTCAAAGTAATGCTACAAAGAACTCTCTTTCAAAATAGGCTTGTGATTACCAATAAAAAAGTTACAAAAAACCAAAACGAAAACATTGTATGCTAGTAAGGAAGAAAATGAAGAAATGAGCAAGAGCAAGACAAAAATATCCACGCGGATGTATTTGCGGCACGTGATCACCTAGATGTAAATATTGCGTGACATCGATCTGGGTCTATTTTTCAGTTCAATTCGTTCCTTCACTTCTTGCTTCTTTTCATTGGAAATATTCAATACAAAACTCAATAGATACCCAGAGGATGCTTATATGCAAGACATGCATCCAGGTCCTGCAAAAATATTGCACAAGCCAGAGAAAGGTGACACTTAGAAAATGCCGTAGCCGTATGAAAAGGCAGGTGGCTGAGCACGGCAGCAAGACACAGGAAAATTAGTGAAGAACATCAAAATTATTTGCCTTCAAACACCCATTTGGAAGGTAAGCTGTCATCGAAGTATTATCTCAGGTTTACTGGGTAATTTAATGGGAAATAGCAGGGTTTTTCAATGGTTTGCTCAGAAAGCGAGCTAAGGCTAGTCGAATTGTTTGCATTTCCTGGTTAAACAAAATCTCTTCGAAAGGTCAAATTGGGTCAACTTGCATGGGGCCGCTCGCCTCGGAAATAACTTTTGCCAAGAAAAAAATTATATCACGTTCAAAAAAAAGCTCTTCTACTTGCTAGAATTGAATTTTGAAAGAATTCTACATAATACCGAGCATGTTTTGAGATGTTTGAAAACGGTATGGAATTTTTGATTTTCAAAGTCTAGAAATTTCGGTTCTCTTCGCTTGCTCTCCAGGAATTCGGAATTACAATTGTAAGTCTAAAATATCATCAAAGCAGCTCAGCAATACCTCCTAAATAAAATTATAAACTAAGGAAAACCATAATTTGCTATGCGCCTTCACGCGAGTTCGATTATCTGATCATGAAATTTGACCTCATTTCTGTGATTTTTCGGCGTCACGGGTTGTTGACGGTTTTTCGTAATTTTCTCAAAAATGTAAAAACTCTAGAACCTAAGACTTATATCACGATTGTTAGCATACCATAGGTTATCTCTGGACGAAATATCAAGGGGTCCATTTTTCCGACCTTGTGCCACCCCTCACGCGGTGGTTGGGGAGAGTGGCTCTTAAGAGCCAATGTCTGTAATTTTCGAGAATCGGTTGACAGTCGTGAATTTTTGAATTTCTTCATATTTTGCTCAAATAATCTCTATAGTACACTAATTTCAAAAATCACGTTAAAACTTGTAACATCTTTTTATTTTTTCCTGAATCGGGCAAAGTTTGAAAAACTCTAAATCGGCGCTCTTTCGAGTATGAAATTAGCGAAAATTGAGCATTTTCTTCGCGCTTGTACATAAAAACGGAATAATATCTCTAGATGAAATCAAGTCACAAAACAGACACACATTTTCAGTTTATAATTCAGCAGTTAACTTTAAACAAACCGTTTAAATGTGACCGTACCGGCCGCAAGAAGAAACACGGTTTGAGCAATTTTCAAAAATGGCAAATTTGACCTAACTTCACCATCGTAAAAACCCAGTTGGTACGCGGAATTTCAATATGAAACAAGAACTGTATAGAAGCATATCCTTTGCTGTTGTTTGTGTTAAAATATTTCTGGCGGCATTCCAAATGCGCACCGTCGAGAGACCAAAATCTGAAGGGTATTTTGACACCAGGAAAGCGCGTGCAACAAGCAAGTTTCAACGCTTGGAATATTACACAGTAATCCTTCGCAAACGTAAGTTACTTCGAAATTTAAACCCTAGTCAGAGTTGTAACGGTTTCAGATTAGATTTCGGCGTTTCTTTCCGGTTTAACATGATTCCTTTCAACTGATTTTTGCGATAAACCATAATGAAGAGACGAATACGCAGTTAAAATCACAGTTAGTAGAGGGGAACATTGTCGAAATACTCGCTTGCTATAGTTTTAATCGTATTAAAACCTTAATATCAGAAAAGTTATTTACTTACCTGAATTTAAATGCTATATGGGGTCACTAACTAAATTCTGCATCACGGCAGAATCAAAGTTAAGTTTGTATATGTTTTCAATCTGTCAACACGAGGGAAGATGACATTCCGGAAGTGCGTGACGCGTAACGCGCCGGAAAAGAAATTCCTGGTATACGTGTTTTACGGTGCAAGTCTTTGTTGTATGTTCGTATAGCATCTCGCACATATTCAAACTTGATTTTTGGCGCCTGTGGCCCCAGTAATGCTGAATTTATTGCGATCATAGAAAAGATGTCGTGAGTCACTTGGTATGCTCCTGACTTGTTAGTCACATGAGTATGTAGGGCAATAACCAAACATCGACCCTACCATGCTAATGATAAAAGTAAGGTTTTCTGCATTTACGTTAGGTGATCTTTGTTTGATCCACAAAATTGGCGCATGAAAATAAGAGTTTTTCCTCACCACCTCTAAATGTTTGGTTCCGGGTAGCGTTGCAACAAATCACGTGGTACCGTTCTAGATCAACCTACTGGCTGCTCATAGAGGGGTCCATAAAGGCACATTGATTGATGACTCTGTGTGGCCTGAACTGAAAATGATATACGCAGACGTTTTCTGAGCGACGAATGTGCAGCTTTTACACTCCTCTTTCGTTTCGCGAGAGAGAGCCCCTTGAACTTTAAGGAACTTTTAGGCTATCTACTAGGTTCTTAAATAGGTTCTTAATTTGATACGGGCACCATAGCGATCAGCACCGACAAAAGAGGATAAAGCTTTATCCTCTCTTTGAACCGATAACTATTGCAGGACATGGATGATATATTTCCGTATTAAATAATTATCTAGAATAAAGTTTAGATGATAACCATACGGTAAATGTATTTTTCCAAAGTACTAGCATGCATGTCTTTCATGATGTGTTACATTTGAATTTTACTGACTAAAACCTAGACAAAATTTTTTTCTGTACAAATGTATCTTCCGCCGTGCCTTCATTTTTGTAAAATAACTGAGAACCTAGGGGGCAATTCATTCACCATACAGTGGAAACATGGAAGCATTTACCCCCTTTTTTCATTTAAATAATGAGCCTGTTGTCGTTAAAAACCCACAACAGTTTGCACCCGTAGTAACCTCCAGTACACTTAGAACCGGTTTCGTAAAATAACAGCGGGTTGACAGTAGCGATATCTCGAGATATCTAGCATAAACAGCTTACGACCGTGGCTTCGAGTTGGGGGACGGGGGGTGTGATTTTCTTCCTCTTCCAGCCACATTCAACTTCAGCATATGACCGGCATCTTTCATAAACATGAAAAAAGTACCTCTCCCTATCCGAGTTCAGTAACTTTCCTGATAACTTACAAAAGCGACTAGTATGGAATAAGTTAGGTTTATGAATAATCTGAATACGTCGCTTGTCAGATGCTCTGCTGGCTGTGTAAACCAACAGAAATAGAACCCCAGAAACCCTATCTAGAGAGTTTCCTTAAGAAAAAAAATCCGCAACAACAACAACGCCCTCGGCCCCTTAGCCGCGGAACACAAATAAGTGTTCGAAATGCAGGAACGTATAGTTCAGCGAGCATTGGCACTGCTCTTGACGGATCTATCTGAGCAACACTTTATATTTGCTTGATAAAGATTTCAGTTTTAAAACAAATTATAACAACAGACCAGGAGCTGAACAGATCCAGTAAAATAAAGGAGTGAAGGAAAAATTAAAAGAAACAACTGTATAAACAGTCTGACCTCTCATAATGAACCGGCTGTGAGCACAAAAAATACCAAGGCCGGATTGTTCTCTTAAGAGAACTGATCGCTTACGCCCATGCTTACAAAAGGACCTCTCGCAAATCATGTTATGTCCCACAGTTCTGCTAATCGACCTTTATATATTTGACCCCATGTTCGACCCTGTGTTTTCTCTCTGGAAACCTCAAATTAGAGAGCTGCGTACTAGGAGCTCGGGAGGGTACTAAGGGCGGTGTACTATTGAATTCCAGGGTAAAAGAACTTCTAGACACCCAACCGACTGTGTTTTTTACTTCGGAGTAAAATCAGGACCCCAGGATGATGGGACATTACACACTCCTGTAGTAATCGCCTGCTGTCCAGTGCGCGAGTCACCGATAATAGTCTGCTAACTTAGTAACTTCCAGGTCAGTGACGGGCGATTAGAAGGACAAACAAAGTACAAAAAATAGTCGTGCAATGGAAAATTAAATGAAACAAATTCATGCACGCAAAGAAACCCTAAAAAAAATTCATGCACTGGCCTAGAAAAATTCATACAAGAGAAATGTTAACAAAAGAAACTCATGCCGCAGAAAAATTTCCCACTCCCCCAAACGCTTTTCTAATGGTACGATTCAAATGTTGTTTTTCAATGAACATTATGAGTGTAATTCAATTTGTCTTAAAATTCTCTTTAGCTTTTCTTTATCTACCTTAGTGATGGCGAAAGTTATGAGTTCAATATGTGTCGACCTTGGAGCGCACAGTTTTATCCCCACCCCTCACCCCTTTATAATATACCTTGTTTAGTCACGATGGCGTACGGTTATGGTAGCCAAATTGTAGCAAAATTCAAGAGAGAAAATATATGTCAAAATCAATAACTTGATACCTACTTCAACAAATATTTCTCAACATCAACACCATTAACTTGTCAACTTTAACAACGTTATTTTCAATTCAACGATTTTCGTTCAACGTCAACGCATTCAGCTTTTCAACTTCAACATTGCAATCAGTCTGAAATGAACAACGACAAATCGCCTCAACAAAAACCATGTTGCTTCACTATCAAGACTTTCTGATTTTCAAATTAATTCACGAACCAAAAGCTTTCAAGATCAACAAAGAAAAATTCGTGTCAACAAATTGGGTCCGAGTCGGTCCCTTGTTACCGCGAGGGACTTGGAAACTAAATACCTGTCCATATCAGCAAGATGGCGGATGACAGTGATCGCCGTGAGGTCCGTTGTTCAGATAGCGAGTGGAGTTTATTCTTTAAAGATTTAGATGAGTTGTTGTGTGAATATGAGCAGCATCAGTCAACGAGTGACATTGCTTTCAAGGAAAACTTAACTATTCGATTGGAAAATGCAGTCCAAGCTTTGCAAAATCTATGACCTGGAATTTTCAGTTGATGTTTTGGAACTGCTATCGAAGGTGTGAATTTCCCAGTCGAACAAGATGCTCACAAGTAGCTGTTTTGTGACTTTCTTCACCAAATAGAGTAGTTAATGGATAAATTGGAAGGCCAAAATATGACATAAAGGAAGAGACATTGATTGAGCTCTGTTCTCTGGGTTTCAGTTGGGAAGATATCGCTCGCATGTTGCTTGTCTCACGCTGGACAGTTCACCGCAGAGTATCCGATTTTGGTCTCAACCACCTGACACGCTTTAGTGACGTCACTGATGAACAATTGGATAGCAAAGTAAGTGCATTCCTTAGAGAACATGGCTGTTTAGTCGGTTCTTCAATGGTTTTAGGCCATTTGAGATCTGAGGGGTTAATAATACAGTGAGAGCGGGTACGTAAATGCCTTGCGCGTGTAGACCCTCACAATGTCAGAATACATTGGGCAATAACAGTGTGAAGACGAGCATACTCAGTTGCTGGGCCAAACAGCCTCTGGCACTTAGATGGCCATCACAGCCTTGTTAATTGGGGGTTTGTAATCCACGGCGCAATTGATGGGTTTTCAAGATTGGTGACCTTCTTGCACTGCTCAACAAACAACAGAAGTGATACAGTGGAGGACTTGTTTTTGAATGCAGAGAATAGGCAAGTTTGGCAGTTGATGGAAGAAAGAAGATCAAACAGGGGAAGCTGCCTGGTAGGTTCTTCGACTCATAATCAGCTAATTGAGTGCCCCCTGCACAAGTTTGCTCTTCATTACATCTATCTGCCACGCATAAACAGGGTACTCTCAAGTTTTACCTCTGCCTGGAATAATCAGCCATTAAGAGCAGAAAATAACTCGAGCCCCGAGAGGATTTGGGTTAATGGGATGATTAATGTGAGAAATCATCAATTGATGGCGGTTGCTGAGATTGTGGAAGAAGAGCCATCTTTTTATGATTTATCTTGGTATGGCTATGACCCTTCAGCACCTCCTCCTATGGATGATGGACGTCCACAGTTAATTTTGAGGATGTAGAAATTGAAATTCCAGGAAATGTTATACATGACCTAAGAGCAACTATCAATCCGATTCAGCTGTCAAATAGCTATGGGATAGAACTCTTCACTGACTGTCTTAACTTTTTGCAATATCATATTAAATCATTAATTACAAATAGAACTAAATGAGACAGCCTTAGTTGTTGTAGAGTATGAACTGCAAATTAATTTCCCATGATAAAACTGTAATTGCAGAGCTAACAGTTAAGGATTATCATGCAGTTCATAACTATGCAGTTCCTTGTTGTTTTTCATTAATCTTCGGTAGTATTGTAGGCAAGTCAACTGAAACTTGCATGTTAGTTTTCCATAGTGCCTGGCCATGTAGTCAAGACAAACTTGCTGAAAACTTTACAGGAATTATTCAGCCACCAAGACAATCGGCTGAAGATCGCTGCTCTTAGTGGTTCAGGGGGAGGGGGCTTCATTT